CCTGCCACTGATGACCTTGAAGAGAGGATCACATCATCCAGACTCTAATCCTCACATTCACTAAAATATGGTGAAAAAAAATCATCACAGGACATCTCTCGCTAAAAAAGCCAACATGTGGGCCTGCATTCAAGGTTATAAAAGCACAGATATCAAAGAAAAACCAAAGCACTTGGTCCGCAGGAAGGAAATCTAAAAAACCTCTCCAATAGTGGCTGCATAGAGACTGTCTTAACGTGCCAAAAACTGTGATCAGTGGTAGCTTTGGCAGTACATTTAATCTAGCATGGGGGGCCAGGCCAGGACACGAAAGGAGAAAGAGATTAATGAATGATAAACACAAGACAATGAAGGACAACGCAGACTGTTGTGGTGAAATGATTTGACATGCCTAACTCCTTAGCCCAAGGCTGCCTGACCTAGCAGACTAATCTGTGAGATAAAGAAGATGTTACCCTGAGGCCATTTCTCAGAATTAAGATACAGGTTACACTGCCAAAAGATAAGCATTTAGCTTGACCAATAATGTGTGCAGTGAAGGTATTGTATTTATCTTTAAACACTCATAGATTGACTTTTCTGGATTGAAAGTTGCATTAATTATATTTATTGTGTGTGCCTATTTCTAAATTTTCTCTGCCGCCAAATGTGGTTTCTTGTCAAGTGGCAAGTGGTAGTCATTGTTGCTTGACAAGAGCTTTGGCCATCATTGCATTTACAAGACAAGAGGTTATAATACGCCCTCTGAGTAGTACAACACCTTCAGGGCAGATTGGAGGCTAGAGTCGCTATCGCAAAGTGACGAGACAGGCCAGGGCTAGCTAGTTAGCATGCTAACTTCAGTAGAAGAAAAGGTGTGATAGAGACAAGAACTAACATCGGTGTTGCTTATACCTCTGCAGACAACTGTTAGTGGGTAAAGGAATGAAGTTTGATGCTGAACTTGCAACTTTCATTCTATAGTATACAGCTGTTAATGCTAATGTTTTTAAATAGTCCAATGAACTGAAGACAATTTTTTAGAGCGCAACGAGTCTGTTACAAGAGATCTGTGCCCCATTTGATGTCTTCATCTTTCCTCTTACTGGTTTCTGACACACACAAACACACACGCACACACCTCATTGTGTTTTTATTGAATAGCTGTAGCAGTCAGGCACAAAGATGTCTATATATGGTGTGAGAGGGGGCAGAGGAAAACAATGATGTAAACTTGGCTCTTATGCTCAAAGTTTTTCTTGGCAAACTTGTGCATAACTTTTACCTTACCAGGTCACTGTCACTTAAATAGTCAAATCTGGTGGGAGGATAGTGAAGTCCTTGCACTGGCAGAATGCTATGAGCTGTACATAAAACTGACTTTACATACACACATATATATATATATATATATATATATACCTGTATATGCATATATATATATATATATATATATATATATATATATATATATATATATGTATATAGTTATATATATTCTTATATATATTCACTATCCATTATTTGTTTGTACTACCATTGCAACAGTAAGTACAGATTGTGTTGTCAAGGTGTGAGCAGTCCTGTCTTCTGAGGAATTAAATTTATATTGGACAATACTGCAGCAAACAGTTCACCAACAGTCCCACTGCAGAAAGTAGTGTGTGTCCTTTAAGTAGCAAGGTGAAAAAAAACGTAGGTCCAACATTCATAGTGGAGATTGCAGTTTGCATCCCTTGTAACAGAAGAAGTACGGGGAAGAATCCAATATAAGCATTCTTATGTAAAATGCATGACACACAAAACACACACAAACTACACACACAACACACACGTATATATACACAACCAAACAGAAACATGATGGTTATAGTTATAAAAATTGTTATGAAAGAATTCAGCCAAATGACTGAAGACTATAAATATGTGCTGTGACATGAACGTGTATTTGATTGTCTACGCGCGTCTAACCAACTGTCCTTGAAGTGAACTCTGTGTCATAGAGTGAGTGCATATTTGCAGCAATAACTACCCACAACTCAAATACAGTGTGAAAGAATGAGAGAATAAAACAAAGATAGAGACACACGGTCTGAGAGCCAGTGTGCTTTGTTGCCTTGACAGCACAGTTGAATTTCTATGTGTGTGTGTGTGTGTGTGTGTGTGTGTGTGCGTGTGTGCGCATTTGTCTGTCTCTTCCAGTAAAGAATGACTCAGAGACTCAGTCATTCTAAAGATTAGCACATTTTACAAGCTGAGTATAAACACTGTCTGCAAAATGTTTCTTTTTTTTCAGCAGTTACATGGTGCAGGTCTCATCTTGTCTCCGCAGATCTACAAAACTTTGTGCACTTTTGTTTTCTGATGCCATATCAACCTCTGAAGCTCTTTTGGATTGTCGACAACAAAAAATGAACAAAATAACAAATAACCAAAAGCTTCGTCAGGACCTTCTGAAGTATTGATATACTAATGTTCAGATCCAGATATTGTTCTGTGTTGCCAAATGTGACCTGTTTACTGTGATGTGGTTGGTACTGCAGAAATGTCTGGTATAGTACATTGCAGTTATTACTTGTGTGATGATCTATAAAAAATGCAAATTAAAAATGGAGAATCCATTTTAAAGAGTCAACTGCATAGTTGCATAGCTGACCTGATGTTTTGGTGCATTTGTTTATTCTTCTAAGATGGCTAAACCACCTTATATTGAATTCATTAATGCAGCATATAAAGCAGAGAAAGGGTAACATTCAGTATTTGCTGTGTATAAAAGGCTACATTTGTTTTGAAAAGTTTCCATGTATTAACAATTCAGTTTTTCTCTATTAATTTATAAAGACTATGATGAATCATAAAGTTACATAACATAATAAACTATCCATTGATCTATTTAATCCAGGGAGCGTCTGGCTGTAGAGTATGTTCCTATCTATGGGTGCAGAGTGATAAAGTGTCTGACAGTCAGCCAGCCGCATTGGGAGACAACCCCTGATCTGAAAGGTGGCTGGACAATAATGAGACACAGATGGTAGCGGTATGTCTATACACACACACACACGCACGCACGCACGCACGCACGCACGCACGCAAGCACACACATATACACACAGGCACACAGGCACACACTGCTCATCCATTAATCTACAAAAGCTGAAAAATCAATCTAAATAAAACACAAATTACCTCAATAACGACATCAAATGAACTGGAAAAAGGCCATCAGGTTGATACTAAATCTCTTATATTCAATACTTAAGGGCAGCGGAAAAATGGGAAACTAACTTTTCTATTTGCACATCCTTTCATTTGGAGTTGTGTTATACACTCTTTTAGCTCTGTTTTGGTCTCCACCAACTCATTAGGAAACACTCTGGCTCTTTAGCTGCTAAATGCTAAACTATGTTTCCCAGCTAGTCACCAACCTTGTCTGTGTGTCATTTCCCTGCTACAGCAAAACCAACGCTATGAGAGTGAACCAAAATAGTAAAGTCGTGGGCCTCAAACCAAAATAATGAGCTGAGAGACACTGAACCGCTCCGTAGAATTGACGAGAACTGCAGATTGTCGTTTGAAGTGGTTTGTCTATGAGCACAAGTAAACGTGTTTCTATAAATTGTTTATATATAAAAATATAAATTATAGCTGCTTTAAAGAGCAGAACCAGCCAACATTTGTATCTAATTACATTGCTCCAAGTAATTGTGGCTGTATTATCTTCCTGCTGAACAGCACAGACACAAGTCTAAATATTGGAGTGTTATCTCGCATTGCGTTGATCTTTATCAGGCTGAATTTGGACATTGTCATTTTCTCATAACTTATTGATAAGAGTTGGAATTGTGCGTACAGAATCCATTGGTCTCTTCTTCCAGCACACGTCCTGATTCATCTGACCACACACACAAACACACACACACGCACACACACAACACACAGCAGTGTGAGTGAGTCTGTCTGGAAACGGTAGACACAGAGAGGAGGTCTGGGAATGCTGAAAGTGGGGGGAGCCCGGAGGGAGGAGAGGTGGAAAGTTGCAACTTCAGGGCAATATAGACCACATGCTATGGGAAGGAATGCATGTGTCTTTGTAGGAGAGTGAAAGAGCAAAGGGAAAGAAGAGAGGGGGAGACAGGAGGAGGAGGAAGAGGAGGAAAGAAGTGAGGAGGGAGGGATCTAAGCTAAGGCTGCAGCGTGGCTCTGTGTCTGAATGAAAGAACCTCTCTCTCTCTCTCTCTCCCACTCTCTCCTGCTGTCTGTCTGCATGTATGGCTTACATCCGCTGCAGCAAGTGAGCACATGTCCAGAGCAAACATAGCGGGACTCGCCAAGTGACTTCAAGCTGGGAGTAAATATTTTGCAGAAACTTCAGCTGAAGGTGAAACTTTCAATTTTCAAGAAGCTGGATTACTTCTTAGAAATTTGACTGTTTTTTTTGTTTGTTTTTTTTGAGGATTGCTTTGCAAACAGAAAACTTACTTTTGAGAAATTACCATGTGATGGACTGAAAGATTTTGAAAACCTCATCTCCTTTGAGAATTTGTGCTGCAATCCTGGAAACTTTGGGTTCTGCAGATCACCTCATCATCAGAAGAACACACTGGACCTGGATCAGCTTGAACTTAAACACACATCACAAGGGGAAGCTTGCCATACAAGCACGATGTGTGGGTTTATCTTTTAATCTGTGCAATCCTGAGCAACTCTGGCTAACTTGCAGGCAGGTGTGATGCTGGGTCAGAGTGTTTGATAAAGACACATTCGCACTTCTACACACACTGACACAAACACAAACACATATGGCTGCCTGAAACCTACAGAGGCCAGGACATCAGATGAGGACATCCAACACTCTAAAACCTTACAGGCATTTAAAATTTGAGTTTCAAACCTGTGCTTGACAGGACATGTAACATGTGCACTGGCTTATACTGAAAGATCACATACAAGCTGCTTTGAATAACAGCATTATTGGGGCATGAGCCACACTATCCTGAACTGAAAGACAGCATCTTTACGCCATGACTCTACAAACCTGTAATTTGGTCCCGCAACGCATCCTGCAGCACACCTTCTTCCTTCACCTACTTCTGTCAGTGCTGCTGTTGCTGCTCCAGGCCTGGTGGGGGAGCTGTCACCCTCAGTGCTTGGACTACAAGCCTCCGTTTGAGCCTCGGCAGCCATTGGTCTTTTGCAAGGAGTACTCCAAGTTTGGATGCTGTGATCTGGAGAAAGATGAGGAAGTATCAGTCAAGTTTTACACCATCATGGAGAACTTTGACCATTCAGGGTTTGCCACCTGTGGCAAGTACATCCGCACCATCCTCTGCCAGGTAAGAGAAACATTTCACTATGTTTGATTGTATGGGCAAGCTTTCATCATCCTGTGTATCCAGACCTTAAAGGCATAATATTTCTTATTAATTGCATTTGATTATGTGACTCTCTGACATTATATAAAGCACAATGGCAATTTGAAACTACACCACTGCACTGGAAATATATACCTGTCACTTGGTAGTGTAAAAAATGCAAGACGTACAGTCATTCTCACTGTGGAATCCATATGAAACTTTATGTGCTGCAGTGACTATACAGTCCCAGATTTTTGTGAACCTAAATATGTCTCTCATGCAAGGTGTAAATTTGTCCGTCTGCGGATGTTTGCAGAACTAAAAAGGAAAACCTGGTGTTGATGTATTACACCATGATGTCTTCAAGATGAGCACAGTGTGCATATTTTGAGCAGTTTATTTAAATACAAGAGCATTTATCCCTCTGGCTTGTCTTTGTCAGATATTACTAATGCCATTTATATTCCAGTGGGGACTAAATAACCACACTGAGACCTCCTGGAAATACAAGTCTCACGCCAAAGGAATCTGTGGTGTGGTTTGAGTACAGTAACCAACAAAACATGCGGTTTAATGGCTACATGGTGAAGTTGGCATCTGTTAGACAGCAGTTACTCATGCTTGGAAAGTTAAAACAACAGTCTTAACTAAATCTTCATCAGTTTTTGATGGGTTAGCTTGTGATTGGGCCGTGTGAACCTAAATCAGCCAAATAATGTAGTGTAATAAAGTAGATATTTAAACTCTGGTTTAAAATAAAGAACACAAACTGACCATTTGATTGGAGCATTACAACCAAATTTAGAGGAAATCCTTTGAGCCAAAACATTGACAAAGTAGAACAAAAATGCAATAACAGCATGTCACAGCATACCAAATTACTGACTTTAAATTGTCAAAGAAGACACATGTGAGCAACACATACAGTAAATTCACAAAGGGAAACTATGCTCCATCCCTTCCAGGTTCCCAGAAAGCATTTGTTTAGTATCTTCCCTCATATGAGTCACAGACATAGGCAGGAGTTAGCAGGACTCCAGACCCTGATGCAGAACAGCTGTGTGAGAAAAGATTGCAGTGCAATTTAACAGCACATTTAACAGCCCTTTTTTGTAGTCTCACCAAATACAGTCGAAAGTTTTAACTACATCACCCCAAGATTCAGAGAATTGCAATATATACCTGTACTACCTAAAGTTGTGGATGGGAAAACTTAATTAATCTGTACACAAAATCTCAATGACAGCTGACAAACACTGAGTGGATAGTACACATCCGTGCAAGGAATCAGCACAGTTTGTAATAAAAAAAAAAAAAAAAGTCAAAGTTTTTTTAGAAGTAAGGACTGAGCAGTTATGTAAAAAACAAAAAAAGACTCATACTGCATTAATCTGACAAAATAAAGTTAAATTTTGTCATACATTTAGGTGAGATTGCAATCTTACTTGATTAATGTTGGGGAATAATGACTTTCTATTTCAGTGTCATTGCATTTTAGTTTCTTTTCCGAGCTCTCTAATCTTAGACAGTGAGCCTTGAAGCCAGTCCCACTCGCTGATTGCATAATACAGCGCTGACTTTGCAGCTCAGACACAAACTACGTGCAGATTGTGAGTGCAAATTGGATGATTGGTGCAGCACAATTTTGGTCTGGCCCATACACAGATGGCTTTCTTCAGATAAAATCTTCATTCTACAGAAGCCAAAACAAGCGGGCTTGACGGCTGTCCTATGAATAACACTTTCATCTTTGATATCAGCACCAAAACAACGGAAAAAACATGGTGTCTTAGTCTTACCGGCAGTTTAAAACATCATATGCTATGTAAAGTCAGTGACAAATCCTGTGACTCCTAAAATATAGGTTTCTATCATTGTGGTAATTATAGCCTACTGTGGTTCTTTCCAGGCAGCGCAGGCTGGGTCTTGAGTGTAATGACAGCACTGCAGCGCACGTACGACTTTCAATGGTTAGTCTAGTTTGACTGAGATACAGCCTGAGTTAAGAGCAGTGTAATGCTGTAATGCATATGTAAAGCTTAGAGATGGGTTTCTTTTTTAAAATCACATACAGCTATTTTAAGTTAAAAAAAATCTCCTTCAGAGAAACAGTTTGGAAGAAACTGTTATGTCGCAGACTACAATGTATTAATTTCTTAAATGAGCACAATTATCTTAAAAGTCATCTTAAAAGTAAACAAAGGTATTTTGGTGCCAAACTTATTCCTCTTTTTACATTTTCAGTCTTTCGACAAAAGGTTCAGTCAAATAAAGTGAACTATAGGACTGAAACATGTGGCTGTTCTTTCTTTGAGTTATGAATATTTGTGTTTTCATGAACACTTTGTCTAGATTAAAAAAAAAAAATCTTTCTTGGAAGAATCTCTCTGTGGTTGTGGTTACTCCCAGGTCGATGGATTGAAGTAAAAGAGGCCCTGGAGGTGGTCAAGTTACTCCACTGCCAGGGCACTTATCCTGGGTAAACCCACCACACTGAGGCCCTCTGTTCCAGCTGCACTACAGGAGCTTCCTGATATCAGTGACAGTGAGAGAGGGAGAGAGGGAGAGAGAGAGAGAGATATGCATAGACAGAAAGACAAAGACTGAGACAGCGAGTGGGAGACAGACAGACAGTGAGGAAAATGAGTGTGTGTATGTGTGCACGCGTGCGCGTGTATGTGTGCACGCGTGCGCGTGCGTGCGTGCGTGTGTGTGTGTGTGTGTGTGTGTGTGTTAGGGAGACAGGAGGGAGATTGTCATGATCCCCCAGCTTAACAAACCAAACAAACAACCATTTCCTCCTCTGGCCAGGAGTTCAGGATATATCAAGTTCCTGCAAGAGAGGGACAGAGATAGAGGAGGAAAATCAGAGAATGACAAAGAGAGACACATAAAAGAGAAACGTGCAAGAAATGTATGTGTGTGTGTGTGTGTGTGTGTGCTTTATAACTGCAGCTACGGCGTAGCCTTTCTTTTTAATAAGTATTTAATATGAGTAAATACAATATAAATGAAAACAAACAAAAACCCACCTGAGGCCACTTCAAAACATTTAGCGTGCACTTAACAGAACAACACTGAATTGTTTCCCCTGCTGCATTTTTAAAAAGCATATTTTAAGTACTGTTTTAGACTGTTCAGACTCTCAGTTTAAAAAAAGTCCCGTGGTGTAGCTTACTCTGACAGCAGACATGTTCAAGTTTCCCAGCCGCACATGAATGCACCATACCACAACAAATCTCAAACGCACAGACAACAACAAGCTGTTTGTTCTGGTTTTCTTTTCCTTTTCTGAAGCACAATCACAACTACTGGATCTTAGCATCCATATACAGTAAAGTTAGTCCTTCTCTTTTCTCTATATCTCTCCTTTCTACTCTTCTCTTTCTATGACTCTCCCTGTTGGGGGCCAGTCAAGGTTCAACTTCACACATTTACCAGCCATCTGTTTGCCACGAGTCCTCTCTCTTTCAGCTATAATAAAATGCAGCTGTGTGGACGAGTCAGTGCAGTCAGGACTATATATGCCAGTAGGAAAAGCTGAAGAAAAGCTTTTATTTCCTTTTCAAGTTTGAATCTTAGTCTGTTCTGAGCTGGACAGCATAAACACCAAATTAGAGCAGTTTGAAGTTGCTTCATTGTTAGGGAACAGCTGTTTGTGGTTGCATTTATTCTACCCTATGATAGTAGGACCCAAAATAGGACTGTCTCAGAACAATGACTGGTTTTTGAAGACAATGTGAACCTGTAGCTGCAAAGATGAGTGGGCATTAAACCATTTAAAGTACCATATTGTTTTTGCCTTTTATTTTTCATATGGCTCTGAAACCTATCAGACACCTTTATGTGAAACATCTGCATGACTCTACAGTGCCCTTGTGAATAGTACAGAATATGAATCAAACCGTAGGAAGCACAGGAATCAATTAAGTCACTTTCCATCTGCTCCACGTCCCAGTTTGCTCCAAAAACTGCTTTCATCAACAGCTCCAGCAGCTCAGACTAAACACAGCTTTTGTTTTGCCCTGTAGAGATAAAGCTGCTTCCCAGGAAGCCTCTAATATCTGCCCAGAAATATATTTTCATGTAATTTAAGAAAGATTCTCTGTAACTGTTAGCTTCTCTGCCTCTTTTCTTTTTTTGGTCAGTGATGATATTATTTATTAATGCCACACAAAATTAAATAAAGCCAAAAACGTAGATTCTTACCCATTTTGATGAAACAATATCACATCGACAGCTTATTACATAACAATTTCACGGGATGCCAAGAAAAAGGGCGACTTTCAAATAAATAAGGTGACATAGTGTATTGTTAATGACCCACTGTCACATTTTGTCTGGGTTGAGATTAGAGGCTGACAGCAACACTGTAAACCAAAGGGCCCAGGTGGGTCCTGTTCAGCAGAGGTCAGACACTGTAGGACACTGGAGTTATAAGTAGCTTCTTTTCCCTCTGGGTTCTAAGTGGATTTATGGACATCCTCAGAAAGTATAAGTCACTGAGTTATGACTTGAAGTAGGAATATGAATCTTGACACAAATTGCGGCAATCGGATGCTGAGGGATTTAACTAAAAGCACATACAAACACACAAACATACCTGTGTGTAACTTGGAGTAACATCGACAAATAAATAAATAATTGAACCAACAGATACTTACAGTAACACCTACACATACACAGTGTCTCATCCACACATAACTTTCTTCCCTTTCTGTCTCCGTATTATATCCATAATTAATAACGTGTCACAGTTAACGGGGCTTTTCGAGCTTGACATGCACAAAGAAATAAAAGTGGAAATTATTTATAAGCAGTCTTTTCAGGTGCAAGCATACAAAAACAATGTTACAACACAGTTTGCCTGTGTGAGTTGTAGTTTCTTGTGCATGTGCACGTTTTCATCAACCAGATTTCTTTATTATTGTTACAGTAGATTATTAACATGCAGTTGCAATTAGATGATGTAACACAGCATCAAAATGTACAAGAAATACAATTTTTGCCCACAGAAGACAGCAACGCTATTTGTAAAGACACTAACTTCACCTTTTTTGTTGTTTTTAGCAATAGGGGTAATCTCAGTTATTGAGTAAGATTGTGAGACAATACAGCTGAAACTTATGTTTCTTTGGGGAATAAGAGACAACAGCATATTTGGTTTCAAGGCTTGCAACTGCTTTGTAGACGAGCAATAAGAGTCAGTCTGAGTTCTTCTGACATGTGCTAAATTATTTAAACCTTTTGCCCAAAAACATTCTTCGGAAGAGTGTACTCATCTCAACAATCAAATGTTATCAGTTTTATGTCCTTTACAAACTGCAATAGATTGAAGTCCTACTTCTGCCACCATTATTGCTCCTATGGGCATTTAAAGCATACAGTAAACTTGCCTGACACTGTACTTAATCACAGTTTGTGCATCACTTGACCATCTGCTCAGTTGCTTTTTCATATTTGTGTTCCGTCAAACATTTTATGTCTGAATAAGTGATGTTAGGCTTTTTTTTTTTGTTCTTTGGGTTCTTGCTTCCCGGTGATGATCGGTTAGGCTGATCTGGCGCTGAGTGAACGAGCACCAGTCAACCACACAATGGTTTGGTTGCTGTGCCTTCCTGTGCCTGCAGCTCACTATTCTGGGTGTGGACAGTGTGGTTATGACTTAATAACTGACTGGACCATCCTGGGATCCATTTATACCAGGCAGCAATCAGACAGGCTGTATATAACCCAGGCCTGACCAGTTATAGTGAGGCAATGAGGCGGTGAGGAGCTGCGGTGAGAATAAGTGCACAAATCCTTTATTTATCTGATCCATACATGTCTTTTAACTCTACCTCTGAGATAAACACATCAGCTTAAAAGAGGGTTAATGAGTATAGACACAGAAACTCTCCATCCCTGATAAAGAGCAAAATTTTCATCCACAGTATCAGACATTTTTTTCCTCAGTAAGATAATATTAAATTGTATAATAAAATGCAACATACTGTAAGAATACAACAGTTTGGGATATAAAATAAATAATTTTTTCTTGACAATGTAAATGAGTCTTTACACATGCTCCCTTCTTATCCACATTCTCAATGATGGAGCATGCATAATCTTCCATCAAGTGCAATGGCTCTCCTGGCTTGAAAAAGAGATTTAGTCTGTTCTAATGTTTGTATGAAGTCGTTCATATACGGTATATTCCAAGCAGTGTTTGGCATGTAGAGGGATTTTGGTGTTTAACATCTCTGACAAACATCCTATAACATCTAGAAGTTATAGGATGACAGTGAAATAGAGTATCTTCTCTTCAGAACATTTAGTCCAAACATCTAGAATATTAACAGACATATAATGAAGATTGACACGAGTTATGTACATTCTCATTAACCACATGTATTGAAGTAGTTTAAATACTATCCCACATTTAATTAGTTAAAAAAAATCTTGCATTTATGGCTTTCTCATTAGAAAATTTCCAATATATTTGTGTTTCTTTTCTTATGCCAGGAGTGCTCTCCATATGCTGCCCACCTGTATGATGCTGAAGATGCCAACACACCTATGCGGATACTGCCTGGTCTGTGCCGTGATTACTGCTCTAACTACTGGCATCAGTGTCGGTACACACTCAGTCTCCTCTTGGAGAACACGGGGAGCCCGCAGCAGTTCGCAAACCTGACGGCAACAATAGAAGATGATCGCAGAAGGTTCTGTGACTATCTGGAGCTGAAGGACAAACAGTACTGCTATCCTAATGTACTGACTAATGCGGGTATGGTGTTGGACAGATGTTTTCATGTTCACAAGCCGGTGCGCACACACCAGTTAGCACTCATACATGAGGTTAATCTAATAGTGAGGTTGAATAATCATCCCCGGGGAACCATGAATGTCTGCACAAATTTTCATGGTTATTCATCCAGTAGTTGTAGAATTAACTCTGAACCAAAGAAGTGGAGTAAGAGACTGGCATTGTTATCTCTGTATCCCTTACTGTATATGTACAGTCTATGTGGCTGTGTGGAGAACAGGAAGTTGTAGTAACCAAGTCTCACATCAACACACTTAGATTTGAATGCAACAAACGCATTATATGTTTTGTGTGCTTTTAACAATCTCAAAATCATATCATAACAACTCTCCCTTTATATTTCCTCTTTTCTGTCCCCAGAACTAAATGCTAACCTCGGCTTGGTGCGTGAAGATCCGAAAGGTTGTCTGGAGTTGTGTTTACAGGAGGTTGCCAACGGGCTCCGTAACCCTGTGGCCATGATCCACGCAGATGATGGAACTCATCGCTTCTTTGTGGCAGAGCAGCTGGGTTATGTGTGGGTATATTTGGCCAACGGCTCCAGGATTGACCGACCTTTCCTCAACCTCACCCGGGCTGTCCTCACGTCACCGTGGGCTGGAGACGAGAGGGGATTCCTCTGCATAGCCCTGCACCCAAGGTTCATACTTTCATATTAGTAACAGTACCAGTTATTTGTGAGGGTTATGTAGAGAACTTTGTGCACAGCTTGTCACACCTTTTTCCTCCAAAGGCACAGTCATGTGTAAAGCATGACTTGGACATTAACATTTAGCTTTTCTTCTGAACTTAGGTTCACAACAGTCAGAAAAGCATATGTGTACTACTCTGTGTCGGTCAAGAAGGAGGAGAGGATACGTATCAGCGAGTTCACACTGTCAACACATGATGACAACCAACTAGACCACTCCTCTGAGAGGTGAGGAAAATGGAAAAAAAGGAGAGTGTGAACTGCACATATTGTAGCCTCAGCCTGCATAGTTTGTATATGTATACTCAACCTCCTCTTATCTCTGCTCTCTTGGTGTAGAACCATCCTTGAGGTGGTAGAGCCGGCTTCCAACCATAATGGAGGACAGCTTCTGTTTGGCCATGACGGCTATCTGTACATCTTCATCGGTGACGGTGGGCGAGCTGGGGACCCCTTTGGAAAGTTTGGCAACTCACAGAACAAGTAAATATAATTTAACAAATTCAGGTGAACTAGGGAGAGCCAGGATTACGTTAACTTTAATATCAGCCAACACCTAACATTGAATTTTTGAGCTAGCGCACTATTGTCGTAACAAAATACGTTTTCATGCCACAAAAAAAAGCCAACCTGAAATATGCAGCACATTTATGACGTGAGCCCAGGAAAAGTTTGAAACATAATTGCTCAAAAAATATATAATTATAATTATAATGTATAATTACTCTTTCAAAGCCTCAGTCTTCTATGTAATTTAAAATAATTTACCTGGATAAGATAAACAAACCCCTGAATTGCTTTACTGAAAAAGAAATTGCTGATCAAAGATAATTTTTTAAAACCTCCTTGACACTGAGGCGTTGTCTACATAAACATATATTAACAAAATACCAAAGTGTTGTTAGAACCAGCCACTTTTGCCTTCCAGTTAATTAAATTCCAATTAAGTAAAGTCTAATGAAAAGCATCGAAATTATGGAGAATATAAACTTCACAACTGTTGCTCAGTGACAACTATAAATGATAGCTGTTTGAAGACCACTTATCTTCCACTTCTCCTAGGGCTGGAAAACCTGCTCATATAATTCAATTCATTACGTCAAGGGTACAAAACAAATGATCACACACACTTATCTTTGAAACCTGCCAAGTTCTGAAAGTGCACTTGTTTATTGAGATTTCAATAATCAACTCATACTACATTTCCAAAATTGGCCCAAAACATAATGTATAATAAGTGTGTTTATTGAGAAAGACCCCAGTTATGTGCAGCAGTGTGAATAAACTGTCCAATGATAAGAAGAGACAGAAGTTTCAATGACATACTGTGTTTGTTGTTTTATTTCTCTATTTAAAGCAGGATTTACTGGAGAGGACTTGTTGTTCCCACTTTTAAATAAATCAGAATAAAAAATCAAAGTATGGACAGTGTAAGCATTCTGTGGCAGTGCACAGATGCTGATGGGAGATGTAACATAGTTGACAAGTCAAGGAGAGGTGGCAGTGTGTGTTTATGCCGACAGCGGTGTACATACAGTTAATAAAATGAGATGTTATTAAAGGGGCTGCAGGGCATTTTTGGTCTTTTACTGTGTTGGTAAACATTACTCAACTCTCCAACCACACGACCTTTAAATTATAATTCATTTGACTCATTCCATAGAGAGGCTAGCTGTATCTTAAGGCAATGTGCGTTGTGCCTATATATTCACACAGAAACACGATATTTGAGCATGTGTATATGCCGATGTGGGTTTTTTCACTGTAATGGAGGTTTTGTCATTGAACTATAAACTCCACCTGTCATTCTTCATTCTCATTTGATCTGCCCACAGTGGATTAAAGGTTAATTACTGCCAAAGGATAAAAAAAAAAAAAAGGTCAGAAGCATAAATATTACCGCTCATTTTTTGTGTACACGTTGCACAATACTCCAAGAATGTCATACGTAGTAGTTACACTGTGAATTGTGGAGCTGACTAATACTTGGCATCAATTTAATTGATACTGCGGCTTTAAACCAAAATAATACAGTCATCTTTTACATTTAAAAGAATGCAAGCCTAACCTAATTAATTATTGTTATTAATGGTATTGTTTGTCCTATCAGCAGCAGGTTAATGACATAAAAGTATGTGTAGCTGAGATACTGACACCTTTTCTCCAGACAGTCATAATTTAGCTCTGTAGCTAGTTAGTTTCTGAGGGGTTTTGTTGACATGCTGTATTAGCTGTCCTGGGAATGACTAAGGATACTCCCTGCCAAGTCTAATATTGACACTACACATTGCGGGCCGCCACACACTGGTATGTGTAAGGGAGAGCGAGAGTGGAGCGTGGGATTGGAGAGAGTGGAAAAGGGTTATAAGGAGACAGTGATCTGGGCATAGGGAGGAAAAAAGGTGAATGATAGGGGAGGAGTACTAGACTGGAAAAAGATGGAGGGAGGGGGGGGCAAGAAGGGAGTAAAAGGGCTAACTTAGAGATTTAGCTCAGATGGATGAACAGAGCGAGAAGTGACGGTAGAGTGGGCAGTAACCATGACAGGACGTTGGGTGGAGATGAAGACATGGGTACGAGGAAGAATGACTTGTACACAATGTTTAAAAGATTTAAGGGAGATGATACGACAGAGTCAGGAGAATTTGGAGTTAAAGAAAAACATGAAGCAGAAGTTGTAAAGAAAATGAATCTGCCTTTAAAAAGCCACCTCAGCCCTTGAAACCTCTCTGAGTCTTTCACGCTCTCTTGTCTACACCTTGTGTTCAATAGGTCAACGCTTCTCGGCAAGGCGCTGCGCGTTGATGTCGACAACAATGACGACGGAGCCCCGTACAGCATTCCATCAGACAACCCGTTCCTGGGGGAAAAGGAAGCACGACCTGGTAAATCCCTTAAAATATTCTCTTTAAGTGGAATAATGTCATCGTGTCTGGTGACTTCTACGATTAATTAATTCATGAACATTTAAGATAAATGGCACGATTGCAAATGAGCAGTCTAGATTCTTCAAATGCCTCGATGGGTGCAAAATCACTGTTCACTCCAGAAATGTAACTTGGGTTTCTCTATACAGTTTCTGAAGATTATTCATTCAATCATTACAAGGGATATTTGCTATTTGTGTCAACACGTACATTTCTTTCTTTCTTGGCAGAGATTTATGCCTATGGAGTGCGCAACATGTGGCGCTGCTCCATTGACCGCGGTGACCGTGCTACAGGCCGTGGCAGAGGCCGGATGCTTTGTGGTGACGTGGGCCAGAACAAATATGAAGAGGTGGACCTCATTGTTAAAGGTATGAGGATTTTTTGTTTACTTTTTAGCACAAGTGCATGTTCATTCAAGATCTCGCCTGAAGTCGTTCGCTCTCAACAGTACATGAAGTGGCTGACATTATCTACTCATCCCCACATCATATAAAAGTGTTCTCTCAGAGACCGCACAGTCAGACAGTGAGTCAGACATCATAGCTTAATCTCAGTCTGCTCCCTAACAGTTACGGTGAATGGGGTCTAGTTATGTTGGGTTCCAAAAAAAGGCACGAAATAAACATCAAATTACAAGTTTCTTTTTAGAGGCCAAACAATAGCTCTGTGAGTCCAAAAGTATATTTACTTTTAGTTACTAGTTTTACTAACTGTGGCAACATATGTTTAAAGGAGGCAACTATGGATGGAGGGCCAAAGAAGGATTCAGCTGCTACGATCGCAAACTCTGCCAAAACTCATCTCTAGGTGAGTCGAGTTTCTGGGTCACTGTCACCGACTTCAGAGTCCATAAACTGAATCTAATATTCACACAGAGGGACACAAAGTGGCCTCTGCAAAATGGATGCAGATGTGAGCTATGACATGTTTTTATTTTACTTTCACTTTTTACGAACTACACTACTGAGACGGATTAAATTGTTAAAAATGTATGTTCTACTTCTGCCCCGTGAAAGCTTCTACTTTGTCATTTATGTCTGAACAAGTTTGTGAGCTCAGTCTCCAAAACTTCCCACCTTGTTTTTTTGATATGATGCACAACTTTTATCTGTCTATGCACCTACAATATACAGTTAGTAGAAGATTGTGTTCTTTTTATGTGATGAACAGTATAAAGTGATGTGTTTGTGTCTCTGTATGTGTAGATGACATCTTGCCTATCTTTGCCTACCCTCACAAGTTGGGCAAATCAGTGACAGGAGGATACATCTACAGAGGCTGTCAGATGCCCAACCTCAACGGAATCTACATCTTTGGGGATTTCATGAGTGGGTATGTGTTTCTTCTTCTTATTCAAAAATGAAAACATGTGCATTTTTGCCCCTGCATGTGTGTGCCACTGCAGCAATCAAGTCAAAAGTGTGACTGCAGAAACACTTTCAATAACACAAAGCACAATAAGCTGCACTTACATTGAACGCATACGCTGATGTGGATTTATATGTATCTGTGTTTGTTTCTATTTAGGCGTCTGATGTCTTTAAAGGAGAATGTCAGCACAGGTGAATGGCAGTACAATGAGATCTGTATGGGAACAGACCAGACCTGCAGATTCCCCAAACTCATCAACAGTTATTATAAATACATCATCTCGTTTGCCGAGGATGAGGCAGGTAATGACCTTATGTGACAGGCTACTTATTATTCACCAACACCAGTGTTGCATAACCATTAAAGAATAAATAAAAGAAATGAGGTCATTAAGGTGTGGGAAAGTTTATTTTTGTTAAGTTTAGTAATAAGATTAAGTGGAATGTGTTTTGAAAACATATTTTGCCAGTAAGCCTTCATCAACCTATGATGATGTTATCGCAAACTTGATGGTTCTTTAATGAGGTCCTGTGGATGCTGCCAAAACAGTCCACGTTTTGCATTTTGAACCAACCAATGTATCTCTACAGTGCAAAATAAACTTACTCATACTGATTCATGAAACTACTGTACTTCAAGGCATCTTTGCCAACATAAAATGATATATAATGAACAAGTAATGGTAAATACATTTCAGTCATGTGAATGTCTTCACTTACTGCAACAACTGCAACAGTTTCTGAGGGGCTTACATGTTCCAGTAGAGGGTTTGGTTTGACTTGGATTAAAGAGAGCAGGCTGTTGACTTACCAGGGAGAATGTTGCACACATGCTGCTGGCCTTAGATAATCTCTTCCCTCCCACTGAAAGTGCTCTGCAGGAGATTTAAGTTGAAAAGTTCAAGCAAAGTCCAAACCCCTTTACTGTAAGACACCTTCTCTAATTTTTACCATAACACATTTTTTAACTAATGTCTTCTCTCCTCCCTCTTCCCTCTACATCTCCCGTTTTGCTATTTTTCTCCCTCTCTCCTCTACTTTCTTGCTTTTTCTTCTATCCATACTCGCTCTTCCTTCCTTTCTCTATGCTGTATTTTTGCCTCCCTCCATTTTTTTCTTGGCAAAACTCTTGTCAATGATTCATTGTCTTTTTCTCCCCATCTCTTCTTGTCCACCCCCTTTCTCCCTTTCCTCTGTCCATCTTTCTAGGTGAACTGTATTTCTTAGCCACAGGAGCCCCGAGTGCCACAGCCAGAGCAGGAGTCATCTATAAGATAGTGGACCCTTCCAGGTAGCTAATTACAACACTTCATCACCTCTACAGTAGTGTGTGGTGCAGACGTTTAGGTGCTACTGATCAAATTTGACAGTTTCTACAATGACACTTTTTTTTGGTCTTGTCAAGAGGCCAGCTGAGAGAGTGTGAACTTCACCAGAAAGGAAACTAACTCAGGCCAGGAGTGCAGATTGTGCAGATTATGTAGATCTTGACTTCACTAAATACTCTTAGAATACACTAAAACTACTTAAAAGTACTTTAAAAAGCTACAGAGCTCAAAAAGCATCTAATTTTACATGTGTTAATCTTTTCTCTGTTGACCACACAGACGAGCTCCACCAGGAAAATGCAGCATCAAGCCTTCACATGTTCAGATAAAGGGAAAACTGATTCACTTTTACCCCAGAGAAGGTAAGAAAAATCTTAAAATAATGTTTATTTTTCTTACACTTCCTAGTTACTTTCTGCTTTGTCACTTTTGTGTTTTGTTTTTTGCTCTTCATTCAAACATTAGAATCTTACCAAAACCTCATCAGAGATTTATCTGTTGAACGCTAACAAAATTATTTTCATGTTTCAAAGACGCTGTAAAAAAAGTTTTCATTTCTTTCTTTTCGTGTTTGCAGAGTTTGTAATCAACAAGAAACCGACCACGACTCCTGTTCCCACGACAACCACAAGAAAAACAACAACAACAACTAAAAAATCACCAAGAAAGCCTATAATAATAATAAAACCACCAATGCCAACAAGAAAGACAGTAAGAAAAACACAGCTAGCACCACCAACAGCAGCAACAGCAACAACAACAACAAGAAAAACAACAACAACAACAAAGCCAACATTACCGCCAAAAACAGCGACAACAAGAATAGCAACATTGCAGACAACAAGAAAATCAGCGAGAAAGACAACATTACCACCGACAACATCAACTGTAAAAGCAACAACAGTAAAAACAACCACAGCCACAACAATAAAACCAACAACCTTACCCACAACTGTCCAGATGGCCATGGCAACAACTCCCGCCACAACCACGCCCTCTGGTAGGCCCCCTGGTGCACCTGTTCACCAAACCAGCTCCACAGATTATCCCACTTCTAGGTCAACTGTTAACCCAGCCACTAGGTCCACCATTTACCCTACTACTAAGTCGACTGTTAGGGCTGACATTAAACCTACTAGTAGAGCAGTGCACACCTTGCCTCGGGGAGAAGCCACCAGCGCCAAGCCAGCTGGTTTCTTCTTCTGCGCTGTAATTTTGTTTTACATTTTAACATGTTAATAGCTAAATTAACGTTTTCCAACTTCAGGTATCTTTTCAGATGGAAAATTCTTTGCAATTTATGTTCAAACGATAAAAATCATACCACTTTGACAATAATTAGAAAACTGTAAAATCACAGTTGCATAGAAAGGTCGCTAGGGTTTTAGTTGCTACAAATGTCAGCTGCAGGTTAATTAAGTTATATGGAAATAAAATCATATAAGATATGAAATTTAAATTGTTTGGCAGCTAAGTTTACTTAAATATGCAAAGGGACATTTTCCCCACTTTTTGATCTGTATATCAGTTCTATTTAAGTGCTGCAGCACTGATATAGAGTTTATTATTGTGCAATTCTCGCTATTATAGCATTTTATTTAAAGCTCCATAACATTTTTATTGTATTAATTTTTAGACAAGAATAGTGAAAACTATGTCAACGCTTTTTTATTCCAGCTACATGAATAAATGACAGTAAAATAGCAAGTAGGCTTAATTGGTAAATGAAATAGTAATTTATTTATTGTAATTCAATCTATGGGTCGTTTTGCACAATACTGAAAAAAAAAAAACTTGTACAATCAATGAAATTGTCTATTAAAATAGACATTTTAATTTTTTGATATTATATTTTATATTATATACTATTGTTAAATTTTTTTTTTGGGGGGGAGGAGGGTTTTACCTCATCTGAGATTCTATAAATCCATATCCACCCAAACAGGTAATTCTTTGATACAATTTTGCTCTTTTACTTATGCATCTTATTAGTCTTTGCACTTACTTTGCAACATCTCTGCACTGGAAGAGTTAAAAGAAAAGAAATCATAACAAAAATCTTCTAAATTGTGGAGAGAGTAACAGATTAAAGCTGTATAGACAGCATTAAATGTTAATAAAATTGCAGTCAAACTGTTTGAAATTTAATATTAACTACAGTAATGTTCCGTGTCTTGACTACAGGGTATATTATTAATTAATAAGTTTGCCTGTGCAGATATAGACTGGGGGATGAACCATTTGCACAAGCTAATGTCAAACTCAGGTACAGTGGAATTAGCTAAAGATGCCTTCATTCCCAACTTTAACCCCTGCTTACGTGTTATTCTTTGGCTGGTACAAGAGTATAAAGCAGGATAAATGGTGCTTATCTATGTGTTGCATATTTGCACTACTTTAAGTTAAATCAGGTACATTGGCTTTATTTATTTTGAATAAATGGTTCTGCATCAGCCTCAGTTTGGACATTCATCTTTGTGTGTCTGTGTTTATGTCTTTTCCTTCCCAGCTTTCAAGGAGAACAGCTCTCTAAACGGCTATAGTGAGCCGTCGGGTCATGAAACACACTCAGTGCTTAATTCACCACTTTGTTGCATTACTTAAAGGAATAGTTGGACATTTTAGGACATATGCATATGACAAGAGTTAGATGAGAAGATCAATACCATTCTCTGGAATGGTATTGTGGAAACAGCTAGTCTGACTCTAACAGGGTAATGGAATCAGCAACCAGCGCCTCTAAACCTCACTTATTAATTTGTTTAGTATGTTTATTTTGTACCTAAACCAAAGTGAGAAATACCAAATAATGTCTTAGTTAGCAAAGCTGGAGGGCAAATTCATTTTGTTTCCCTGTTTCCGGTCTTTGTGCTATAGGCTAAGCTAACCAGCTTAGCTTAGCCTAACCACTAGCTTCATATTTACTGTATCCATGTGTATTACTTTAAAGTAAGAAAAGTCTTTAACACATTGTTAAAATACATATATTCAAATAAAGAGGGTGATTCTGTCTCTCCCTCAGGTTATCGCACAACCATCATGACTGCGGTCTCCTCTAGGATTGCTCAAACCCCAATCATCACCACGCGTCCAACAAGGAGACATGGGAGACCACATCAGTATTCCCCTAGTACCACCTCCCACCCTTTAACCTCACCTCAGCTTCCTCCTTCTCCATCCACAAGAACATCTCTGAAACGAGCCCAGATGGCTCTGACCTCTACACGTTACCCTGAGCGTCCTGGGGCGTTGACCACACCACGTCCGCCATACTGGAGCCAGAAACCCACTGTATCTTCCTACAAGCCCCAGAGACCAACAACCAACACCATGCTGCCTAAAGCACAGGAAGAGAAGCTGTGGCTTGGGGAGAAGCTGGAAACTGCTGGGGAGGGAAATCAAATATATAAGAGGACCAGAGGAAGAGGTAGAGGTCGTGGCTTCAAAAGAGGAAGAGGAGGGAGAAGGCTGAGGGTTGGCTCGGTGCGACTGGTGAGCACTGATGGTTTATCAGATCGAGGCAGAGTGGAGATCTTTATCCGAGGAGAGTGGGGGACAGTGTGTGATGACCTTTTCACCAGCAAGGCGGGCACTGTGGTGTGTCGTCAGCTCGGCTTCACGACGGCTCTGGCGGTGATGAAGCGGGCTGCGCTGGGGGAGGCAGACAGCAGAGTCAGGATCTTTCTGGATGACGTTGAGTGTGAGGGCGGTGAGAGGTCGCTGCTGGAGTGCAAGAGATCCAGGGTTGGGAAACACAACTGCTCTCATGGGGAAGATGTCGGGGTGATTTGCGGTTAGCACAGGGGGGTGAAAAAGTAGGAAAGCATAGGAGGAGACAGGAGTGACGTATGGTTCTGTCACACACAGGAAGTGACGAAGAAGAAGAGAGTACTTGAAGAAGGTATAAAAGATTATAACAGACTGCACATTTTTAAGCATGAATGTTCAAGTAAGTTTGCCAAAATCTCCATGAATCGTTTCTGTTTGCCTGTTTTGCATATTAATGATCAATTTTTTAATTCCCACCCTCTGCTAACAGCTCGGTTGTCCATCTGCATTACTTTACTGTTCTTACTATGCACTTGTAACAAAGAAGAGAGGAGCGTGAAGGAGGTGCATGTCCCTACTCGGGGCCTTTCGTTGGCTTTGTCGGATCCTATTCAAAGACAGTTTCTCCAAAACTCACTCGGTCCACTGTTGTGTAAAAACTAACCAAGCACATACAGTAACACAGATGATTTTAGTGAATAGTGACAGTAACCAGCCAAGGGAATCTGCTGAACTCTTCTTAACCCCTGTGTAATGACCTGGTCAAATCACCATTCATGACAGCAACAACTTCAGCCAGATCAAGTTATTTCAGCGGAGTTGCAGAAGCGAAAAAAAATCTGCGTACATATGTGAACTTTGGAAACTCACACGTCCGGCCATCCATATTTATAACGCTCTAACTCCGCTCTGCCAAAGTGTAAACTGCTCCACAAAATGAGACGAGGGGTGATTTCCATCTACTCCTGCCAGTAATGACACAGGAGGGGATGGTGAAAGTACGGTCCCTTGAAATAATTGTGCCAACTGTGTGGTTAGTGACCATGAGTCCAAATAGTCTCTATGTTACTGTCTGTAGCTTCAAGCAACATTTATTTCAATGGACGCTGTGCCACTCTCTGGTGTGACTTGGCACTTCAGTGTTATGACAAACAAGACACTGCATCAGTGTTGTAGTTGTAAAGAGTAATGTTTGTTACTTTTTCACTTCTTAGAGATTTAAAAATGTTATTTACGCAAAACTGGTCAAAATGGAGTAAGTTAGTTTTGGAGAAACCTGTTCTGTTTACATATTTACTGGAGAAAAGCCGCCCACTCCTGTTAAATCCTGTCAGCTGTGTTCTGAGAGGATGTTTGTATTTTTGTATTGTATGATTTCAGCAGGTCTATTTTCTATTTGCCTTTTGATACCTTTTTGAATGTAGTTTTACGATGAAAAAAAGAGTTTTAGAAAGGAAATGCTGGACATTCTGTACGCTGAATGTAATAAAAGTGTTTCCAGTTTTATATAAAGAGATTTAACAGCAAAGTGATTTTCTTGTGATTCTCTGTTATTCTGTGCCAGTCTTTTCTAATGAGCTGAAGGACGGTGGCTCACTCAGGCAAAATGCATATATTGTGCCTGTGTGACACACTGTTTTGGAGAAGATACCTTACAGGCATGTAAAATATTCAACGACATCTTGCTATCTCAAACAGAATTTGTTTTAGGGGTGGAAATGTCCAGCAGGCCTGCCTTCTGAAATTCAATGCTTCAGACAGTGCTGATGGGTTATACTGGAGCTCTAAAGGAATTACAGCTCAGTGAGGAGGAAGACAGCACGCATCAGCAGTTTCTGAATGTTTTTTAAACTATAATTTGACTTAAAAAATGTTCATGACACAATCAGACTTGACTAAAGGTTTTGGTTTCGACTGAAATCTGAATAGAATCTTTCTTCCCTTCTTTTGACTTCCCTACGTGCTCTCTCTACTCTGCAATTTTGTTTCATATGTGTCTGTGCAAATAATCAAGAATGGCATTAAGTCAACAAAAAGTAGTAGAAAAAGATCAGTAGATGGCTTTGGCATTTTTATAACCATGGCCATGTGAAACATACATGGTTATAAAAAGTATCAAACTAATGTATGAGCAGATGGATGAATGGACAGACAGAAGCAGTACTCCGGCAAATTAAAGAGTAAATTAATCAAAAAGAAAAAAAATGATGATAATGAGACACATCTTCTTAATTTGACCACTGTCCATTGAAGGAGACAAAACACCCAGCAGTGATGTTATTTGACATCATAATGTAGAACTTTATGTTTAAATGTGAAAATTATTATTACAACTGATAAAAATGTGGATTCATCGCTGTCTAGGTTTGGATTTATATGAACACTGAATGAACAAAAGAAGTAAAACATTCTATCTGTGTTAATATGTGAGACTGGTTTTAATGCCCTGGTCCATTGGTCATGGAGAGGAGGACACCTGGATAAATGGGCTGCTGGTAGAAACCTCTTGAAAGGAAGGTGGTGCTGGTGAAGAGAACAACTCCCAGGATCCCACACTCAGTCATGACCTCACCAAACACAATCTTTTCTTATTGTTTTGATTCACAGACCCATAGCAGCAGAAATTACTGTGCCTTTAATAAGGTCGAATGCAATGAGGTGGCATAAATGAATGAATGAAGAAAAGCTTTGGGTACATGTGTGTGAACATGTGTGTTTGTTAGTGTTATAGTATGTGTATGTGTTGTAGTGTATATGCATGCATAAGGTTTTATACAGCACAGTATGGATGTTGTCTGAGTTCATAAGCATGAACCTTCAACCTGCACCTGAGAGCTGACCTGGCAAAGCAAAAACATTTGAGTCTTATTTTAAAGCAAAAGAGTCGTGAAGGCAAGACGCCACTGGAGCAAATGAACTGTGACAGATGACAGAAATCTACTGTAGCACAAAATGTTTCCCATGAATAATGATAATAATAATAATAAGTGATTATACAGAGAGCCATGTCAAAGATGACCTCAATCTAAAAGCTGTTTAAAATGAAATGTCATTCAGCCTCTTCAGGTACAGTACAATGTTAAATTTTTGCTTCTGCTTCTAGACCAGGAGGAGGCAGTCATGTATCAAAATGTATCACCCGTGGCTGATGTTAAAGGGAACAGAGCATGAGACCCGTCATATACTGTAGGTGGTTAGACAATGTTTTCATCAGTTTGCACAATTTACTCTATGAATTAAATAATTAGTCACTACATCTGTCACTATAATGAAGTCTATGGCCTAATGAGCTAACTGAATCACGCATGTTGCAATCAAACCATAAGTCAATTATGATTATCTTATCAAATTAGGTTCTCATGAGTGGCTCCATTAAAGATTGTGCAAAGTCATGTGTGAAATGTATCTTCTATTGGAGCTAAACAATGGGAAGTAGAGCAGTATTAAATCATATTTATCTAAGTAACAGAGTGGGGACTTGAAAACTGAGGAACTCCACAGCAGCCAGGAGTTAAAAATGGATCTTGTTGCTGTTTTCATGGAGTTAGATAAATACTTTATATATCCCAAGGGACCCCGGCTTTCAATCAGTGAGCTTGTGCTATTTTCATTCATTGAGCCATTTGCAGATTTTTGACAGTCACTCTAGATATTATCAACCAAATGCTTACACAGTGATCACAGTGTGCTTTAGTCTAGCTGGTCACAGCTGTTCAGGATCTTCTATACCGTGTTAACTGAAGCCTCAGGGGAGACATCGTTTGAAACACAGGATCTTTCTTGCTCTTATGTACCAAAGGGAGGTGAAACGCATTCGAACAGCAGCTATAGTCTGGGGAACACAATTCAGATGCAAAGCAAGTTGCATACATACATGCACTCACACCTGAGCAGCCTCAGTCAAGCAGGGGATCAGGCCCTGTTCATTGGCACATGGCAGTGCATGCTTTCACCATCCAGCGGCTGCCTGAGGATGCAGTGACCAACATCTACATGTTTCTTTCTCTGTAAAAAATTACAACACATGATTGTTTTTCCGCAATAAGCTTTTGGATCATTTTTTTCTCCAACACCACTAATTTCAACAGGGAGGGAAGGGAAATGAGATACAGACTGTACACTCTAAGAACCAATGCATTACAGAACATCCTGCAGTCCCAAACATCAACGCAAGGGAGAGCCATCGCCCTGTGCGGTTTATTACAGCTACTGCGGTTGACCCAGATTTATGCTGACAAAAAAAACAAAACATGTGCATCTGTGTATATATGTTAAGAGATGCAAATAATCACGTACATTTCACTGTTTTGTGTTTTTTTTCTGTCATGATGATGATCATGACATGGTACTGATTCCCTACAAGTTAGCTTTCTACTGTAAGTGTGTGCATGTGTGGATGGGAGGGAGGGGCGGGGCTCTGGGATTGATATACTATCTATTAGGTCAAATAAAGAGAGACACACTGATATATGAGAAAAAGTAGTGCACAGAGAGAGAGGGAGCAGAAAATGATCGCACAAGAGTGACAATAATCTTTGCCAGCAGACAATTTAACTGTGACGTTAATTATCTCTAATGGATCTATGTCTGATTAAGACGATGAATATCCCTGAACTGGATGGGACTCAAGAGGAATGGAGAGGATGTCCTATTGATCGACAGTAAAGCACTTCTCCTACTGGAGTAAAGGGAGTATACTAGCATTGAAAACAAGCTTGCGCTACAATGAAATCAACAAAAAGTGGAGTTATACATGTTTTTTTCTGTTTAATGTTACAGTATCTTTCTTTTATTGAGCAAATTTGCAAGGACATAGATTATATTGACAGTTTAGTCACAAACCTTACATACTCTGGGTTTTATGCTTCATTCTTTCATATACATGTACTTTATTATTGCCTGATAACAAATACTCTATTTATAATTTTCTTCATTTTTCTTTTCTAAAACTAATCTGATATATGTTATTTTATACAAGTTCTGCAAGTTCATTTTATCCTAAAAGACCCTAAAACAAGACAGTGAGCAAGTAAGAGGGAGAAGCAATTAAGTAGCCTGTGGTTTTATAAGGGTTTTGTAAAGACGCACAAAAACATGCAAGCATGAACATGGAATCTACGCATGAGCACACACACGCCCAGATACTTCCCCCCAGTGTCTTGTCTTTTGTTCCTAATTTAGCTCTCCCTCTCTCCCGCTGTCTCTTTATTTCTGTCTTAATCACTCTCTTGACTTCTCTTCTCTTTGTG